GTAGCAAAATCCCATAAACTGAGTAGCTTAAAACTACAGAAATGTATTTCTTGACCCCTGGAGGCAGAAGTCTGAAATCAAGGTGTCAGCAGGGTTGGTTCCTTCTGGAGACTTTGAGGAAGAATCTCTTTCATGCTTCTTTCCTCGCTTTTTGGTGATAGAAGTGATACTTGACATCATGTATTCTTGGTTTGGCTACAAGATCCCTAGCTTGTAGACGCATGTGCCACTCCGTCTTTGTTCCCTTCTTCATATGTGGTCTCTGTATTTTCACACTGCTGTCTTCTTATAAAGACACTAGTTGTATTGTAACAAGTTCCATCTTCCAAGAGCCTGTTTCCACATAAGGTCACATTCTGAGGCACTAAGGGTTAGGACTCCAGTACATCTCTTAGAGGGGACACAATTCAACCCAATAATTGGTATATTCATGTTTTTAATTCTTTTTCTTGTATCAGTTTCAGTGACTTATATTTTTCTAGGAAGTTGTTCATTTTATATAAATTTTCAAATTTATTTTCATAAAGAGTTTAAGTTGAGATTAGCAGATGGTGCAATGGTTACATTGCTGGACCTCCATATGATCGACTGTGGCTCAAGTTCTAGACCTGGTGAATTAAAACTCACACTGGGTGTGTGCATGCTCAATATTCTGAGAGGAGAGTGGAGGAAAAGTGATTGCAGTGGCCATCCCCCCGGGGATGATTTCTTGCTTTCTGTCTCTCTCTTTCTTTCTTTCTGGTGAGCACATGTGCTCTGTAGCAAAAATCTCTCTTAAAAAAATAAAGTTTAAGTCAAAAGTTTTTTTTCAAATAAGTATTTTATTTAACTTTATTTATTGATTGATTTTAACTTGACCAGAGGGAGAGAGAGAGAGAGAGAGAGAGAGAGAGAGAGAGAGAGAGAGAGAGAGAGAGAGAGAAAGCAAGCCGGCATGTCGGGGATGAGCAAGCTGCCAGGTCTGGGACTTGAACCGTGGTTGGCCATGTGGGAGTCCACACCACCTTTTAACCACCACACCACCTGCTGGCCCCCTAAGTCATCTATCATTCATATCCTTCTACTTTCATAGGCTGTGTTATTCTATTTTATTTTTTTAATTCCTTGACTTGAAGGCTCATTTATATATTTTAAAATTTTTGTCTTTCTTCTTCTCCACAATCTTTCTCCTCTTTTCTTCTTTATTTAGTTTAAAAAAATTCATGATCAAAAGTGTGCACATGCACAAGAAAGAGAATAGGACAAAGAGACCCTCTGCAGAGGTCAGTCATGCCGCGATCCCTGTCCTCCAGTCCTCCAGCCCACCAGGATCCTGGTCAAGTGTATGTGTGCCTGGCATGTTTGCAGGTTAACTGAGCCGAGGGCTCAAACCGTGGTTGGCTTGTGGCTTCCGGCCTTGCAGTATGGTATGCTATTAACTACATCACAGGGGCCGGGCTTCTTTTTTAATAAAAGTATTTAAAATTGGTATGATTTGAATGTGTTCTCCCAAAAGCATGTGCTGTAAATTTAATACCCAATGCAACGGTGTTGAGAGATGGGCCCTCATGTTCAGGTCATGAGGACTCCAAACTCATGAATGGTTTAATGCCAGTTATAAGAGGACTTGAAGCTTAGCATTCCATCTCTTGCTCTCTCTTGCCTTCTCTTTGCCCTTCTACCATGGATGATGTAATAAGAAGCTTCTCACCAGATGTGGCCCCTAGATCTTGGTCTTCCCAACTTTCAGAACCAATATATTTCTGTTCATTATAAATTACCCAGTCCATAGTATTCTGTTATAGCAGCACAAAACAGACCAAGACAAAAACTGTAAAATCTTGTTTTAACTGTTTCTTAAAAATGTTGATTTTTAAAAATTTTGACTGCCTTCTAAATATTTTCAAATTTCCAATATGATTTTGTTTTTAACAGGTTATTTGTAACAGTGTTCTTATATTTGCCAATGGATAAAATGCTTTCGGTTATGTTGTTACTATTACTAGTGAAAGTGAACTGGGGAGAAAGAGCATAGTCTATATATTGGCTCTTTCGTGTTTGCTATTTGCTTTGTGGCCTAACATGATCAATCATTGCAGTTGTTTTGTGGATACTTGAAAAGAATGTACGTCCTTTGATGGTCTCCTGTTCCCACGTTGGCGTTAAAAATCCAAGCCCCTGAGTTGTCAAGACACATAATTGTACTTCTCCATCATACATGCACCCCTCACCTACCCTGGCTCACACTCTCATCTTATGATTTTATAATTTTCTCTTGTGTCTGGTATTGGTTATTTCCCTTACTATACATTCTCTGTGTTTAAAAGGATGTGCTTATGTTTTATCTCAATTCTCAGGTGTCTGTAGCAGGAAAGATTTTCAGGTCATCTAATATCCCACATTAATCTAACTAGAAGTCAGATCAGTGATTTTCAAACCATTTTTATTTTCATTTTTTTAAAAGGAACAATGGTTTATTATTTTAATTAAGTGGCTAAGCTGCTAAAATCTTAAGGCCTCAACAAATGTTGCATCCAATAATTTTCATTGAAACTAAGACCTACTATTTTGATTATTCTAGGTAAACAGCAATTTCGTTTCTCCAGTGGTTTCCATTTGTCAAACTGTTTGACAGCTTCACATGGTGGGTATGCCTTCAGGGGGTTTTATCAGATGGAGCTTATATATAGTGCAACAGCTGTAGCGAATTTTTTATTGAAAGTCCATCTAGGGGCCAGATAGTGACACAGTGATAATGCAACTTGAATATAAAGTTTCAGTTAATACAACTGGACCCACATGGGAAGGTCTGGGTCTATGATGGGAGGTTTTCTTCTACTTGCTGGACATTGGATGTGTGCCTGTGATCCAGGCTTCCCGAGGCTGACTTTGGATCACAGTATGAAAATCCTGTTGGGGATACCTCTCTCTCTCTCTCTCATGGAAGAAAAAAATAAGGAAACTTAAGAAGAAATGGCAAGTCCATTCATCAGGACTTAGCAGTCATGGTGGCCAAGGAGTCCTATTTTGGTTGCCAGGTCTTCATTGCTGAAGATGATAGTCCTGAGATTTCACAGATAGTTTTTGCATCATTTAAATATATTTCTTTTTTTTAGTTTAATTATAATTTTTTCATATAACAGTTCTTAAAAATCATGAATGAATAATTCCATTTAATTACAAGTTGAATAACACTTTTATTATTATTATTTTTTATATTACATTTAATCACATATATCTTTAAGGTATATAGCATTTATTTTAATATACTTCTTTTTTTAATGAATCAGGGCAATTTTAACATAAATTTTGTTGGCTCATGTTACATCCTGATAGGGATTTTAGAATGCAGTTTAACAATTTCAAATTCATTTTCCATAGATTTTTGCCATAGGGCGGGCGCCACCACGCCCCAACAATTTCAAATTCATTCTCAATAAGTGTGACTCTGAAAAGAGCTGCAGTAAGAAATAGAGTATTTCTAGTGTGCCTTCAACTTACTAAAACATTTGTGGTTCTTTCCTATTTAGCAGCTATTACTCTACGCAATGTACTGAAGAGCTGATGTTTTCAGGTTTTACTTCTCTTTTTGTGACATCTTTAACACAGTCCAAAAAGCAGGTTTCTGTAAGTTTACTGTAGGTTCTAAGAAATTCCTGAAGTTGTTGGGGACCAACAGTTGGTGTAATGGCTATGTCGCTGGACTCCCATGTAATCGACCATGGTGTGAGTCCTGGACCCGGTGGTTTAAACTCACGCTAGGTGTGTGTACGTGTGTGCCCAAGATCCCGAGAGGAGAATGGAGTAGAAGGGATTGCGGCGTGGCCATCTCCCCACAAATCACCCCTGGGGGTGATTTCTTGCTTTCTGTCTCTCCGCCTCTCTTTGTCTTTCTGGTGAGTGCACGCACCCTGTAGCAAAAAACTCCTTTTCTTTAAAAAAAAAAAAAATTCCTTAAATTGTTTAATCTGATGAGATTCTGGTATTCGTGCAGCCATATTCTTCTGATATGTTTGTTAGTCAGCTAATGATGCATGAGTTTTCTTCCTGTTCCAGAAAAATAGTTGTTTGACTTTTGCTTCAGTGTCTGCAGTAAGGCCAGATTTCTTACGTAAGCACAGGCTCTCACCCCTGACAGCAGCATGTGGATGCGGTGCTGCACTGCCAGTTGCACCTGGGAGCAGAGGATGGGCTCAAGGTGGACACAGCAGCTGTTGGATGGACTTAAACTATCTTTTTAAACTGTTGGCGTTTCTTTTTAACTGATGATTTCACCTCCAGATCAAGTATTGTTTTTTTTTACTTTTTTGGAGAGGTTTTTGCTATAGGGCATGTGTGCTCGCCAGACAGAGAGAGAGAGACAGAGAGACAGAACGTGAGAAATCACCCACCATGGGAGATGGTCACGCCGTAATCCCTTCTCCTCCATTCTCTTCTCAGGATCTTGGGCACACTCGCACACGTGCCCGGCGTGAGTTTTAAGCCACCGGGTCTGGGACGTGAACCGCGGTCGACTGTGTGGGAGTCCAGCGACACAGCCATTACGCTAACTGCTGGTTTCCAGATCAAGTATTTTTTTTAAGTTTATTTGTTTTTCTCTTCCATGAGAAAGTGAGAGAGACAAAGAAAGAAAGCAGGAGAGAGAGAGAACTCCTCAACAAGGTCTTTTTTTCCTCAAAAA